CACACACAGTGAGCTGTAACACCAGGATAACTCCACCTTGCAGTTGCTCAACCATTGTCCAGGCCATCCGAGATCCACTGGCATCGAACACCACGTGTCCCTAGAGGAGAGAAGGAACGTATCAGTATGTGTCAAATTGGAAAATACTCGGATATGCAGTAAAAGTCATCAGCATCGCGGTCAGGGGGTTTGGGGGTGGGAGATGGCAGTGTGGGAGTGGAAACATTAAACTGATGATAACTTCAGACTGTCAAAACAGAAGTTATGAGCGCTGACACACACACACACACACACACACACACAAATTCTCTCCTGGTTCTTGTCATATCTAGGAGAAAGGAAGATGGTTGTGGTTGTTATCAATAGAAACGAAACAAAGGAGGGTGTATTTGTCAACGATGTGAGTGTACTTTCTAAGAACAGAGAGTGTATGGCTGGCAGAAGTCCCAATTAAGTGCTTTTGGGCGTGAGACAAACATGTGAGCACAATGCGACTGAGCTGTGGTATCTGTCAGACACTCATGCAGATGGTAAATATGCCCTGTTATGAGCCGGTTAATTAAAAAGGCAAATGGAATTTTGGCCTTTATTGCTAGGGAGCTGTTACAGTGTAGAAGCAGGAAGTGTTGTTTACAATGATAAGGCCGAACCTGGAGTAATATGTACAGGTTTGGTCCTATTATTTTAGGGAAAAGGATATACTGGTATCAGAGGCTGTTTAAAAGAGATTCACGAGGCTGATTCCTGGGATGAGGGGGTTGACATATCAAGAACAGCTAAACACGTTAGGCCTTCATTCATTCATTTGCAGAATGAGGAGTGATCTGATTGAAGCTTACAAGATTCTGAGGGAGCTTGGCAGCATTGATGTAGAGAAGATTATCTGCATTACTGGGGGAGTCTCGAATTTGGAGGCATAGTGACAGAATAAACAGACTTGCACTTAAAATTGAGATGAAAAAAATTTGTTCTCCTGAGAGATGTGGAGGCTAAATCACTGTTAGTCTTTAAAGAGGAAGTAGACGGAATTTTGCAATATCAGAACGTTGTGCGCTATGACAGTTTGGCATGAAAGACCACTGGAGGTCTGTGACAAATCAGCCAAGAGCTTATGGCATGGTGGCTACAAGAGCAGGTCAGTGGCTTGGGATTCTGTAGCAAGTAAGTCACCTCCTGAATTCTCAAGACTTGTCCACCATCTCCAAGGCACAGATCAGGAGTGTGATGGACTAGCCTGGATAGATGCAGCTCCAACAACATTCCAACAACCATACCAACCAAAACACACGCATACTCAATCTCTCTCTCTGACACACACACACACACACACACACACACACACACACACACCATGCACACACACACGCACACACACACACACACATATCCAATCTCTCTCACAGATACAATGTGCACATACATACACAAACATGCATACACACACACACAAACACACATGCGCACGTGTGCACACGTACATACACAAACACATACCCACACACACACACACGCACGTGCACAAACATACACAAACATACATAAACACACACACGCACACACACAAACACACACACACGTGCGCCAAACACGGGCAAATGGAATTAGTTTAGTTTGGTAAATGTGGTCAGCATGGAAGGGTTGGACCAAAGGGTCTGTTTTCGCGCCGTACAACTCTATGACATGGGAGTGGGATGGACTTGAAGGCTGTGATTATAAATGCCTCTGTAGCCCTGTGACAACTGCAGCAAGCCCATGCACTTTTCTTGATGCAGACAGATCCATGCCCTACATTGATAGGTTTCTGAACGCAGTGAAGAAGATAAATGTTCCTGGTGTGCAGATCCTGACAAGTAGGACCCAGACAGCAGGCGAGAAAGACACAAATCAAAAACACCCAAACTTGAGAGCTCATGCTGACAGGGAGGTGCAGATAAAAAGCCAGAAGATCACAACAATTGTGTTAAAGCATTGGCTCGCCTGAGATGTTGAGTGTGGTTTTGGACCCTCACTATAGGAGGGATAGGCAGCCTGAGGAACAAGTATGGTGTCGGGGTGTTGCTAGGCTTGAGGTCTCAGAGGAAACCTGTAGAGTGTGGGCAACATTGTCCACGTTCAGACTGAGAGGGAATTTGTTCAAAATGTTGAAGGTTGACGGCTGTGGCTCAACAGGAAGATCAGAAAGTGATGGTTTCTAACTGGGGATTTAGCAGATCATCCAACCTGCTCCAGCACTAGTGAACATCTTTCAGAAATGATCTTAAACCCTGGTCCCCTCTTCCCTCTCAGGTCAACATGAAACATCACGCAGCACCATTTCTAAGAAGGGCAGTGGAATTTCTCCTGATCAGCCATCATTAGTTAAAGACAGGGCATGTGGCAATTAACCTTCTGGCTACAATGTCTTTGCTCCCATACACCAGGGATTTGACCACACTGTACAGTAACACACGTGTGCAAAAGCACTCAAGCAACTCATTTTATTTACGGATGGTAACTCATAGAGACACACTCAAACACACAAAAATAGATAAACACATATGCACACAGACAAATACGTACACAGCAGAAGCAAAATGATGCACACCGACAGATAAATACACACAGATCTAAATGCACAGATCCACAGACAGACAAACGCAGAGACATATTCAGACGCACAGAAACACAAACACAGATAAGCACAGGCAGAAACAAATAGTTCGACACAGGCATATTCAGACAGGCACATAGGGACAGACATTCACAGAGTGAAACACACGACAGGACACATACACCTGTTCCCACAAACACACAAGCAAACACGCACAGATACCCATACATACATCACACAAGCAAACCTACAAATGGAGACTGAGAGATAGACAGACACAGAGAGAGAGACATACACAGACACAGGCAGAGAGAAAGACATACACAGGCAGAGAGAGAGAGAGGTACACAGGCAGAGAGAGAGAGAAAAAGACATACACAGGCAGAGAGAGAGAGACATACCCATAGCAGAGAGGGAGAGACATACACATAGCAGAGAGAGACATCCAGGCAGAGAGAGAGAGACATACAGGCAGAGAGGCGCTCACTCAGCCACGTACCGAGACTCCATCGAAGGAAGAGGAATTCATAGCTTTGTAAAGCTCGTCTGTGATGGCCCTGTTCTGACTGTGATAGTTGAACTGATCCAAACGCATCTGCTTCTTCTCCAGCTCCTGCGCTGTTTTGTTTAGGGCCAGGGCCAGTGCCCAGATAGCATCATATGCCAAGGGGGCCTCCTGGTAGCCCCCAGTCTCCTCTGGTGATTTCTCGATTACGGCCTGCAATTTCTCCAAGAATTCCTGGGAAGTCTGAGCAGGAACAGGTACGTGGGTTACATGACACAGTGTCTGAACCACCACGTCACCAAGTTCTTGACTGTAGATTTCTCATCCTTATCCATAAAAACCATGGCCTCACCACACCCTGTCTCTGAAATCTCCCACAGCCCCTCAGTCCTTCTCTATTTCTGGCCTTTTCCTTATCCCCAGTTTAATCTCCCCATCACTGGCAGTCATGCCTTCAGCTGTATACATCTCAAGCTCTGAAATTCCCTCCAGAAACCTGTTCACCTTTCTATCTTGCTCTCGACTTTTAAGAGGCTCCTAAGAATTTTTGGACATCTATCCCAATACAATAGCCAGGTCTTTGTCCCAGGGTGGGGGAGTCCAAAACTAGAGGGTGAGAGAAGAAAGATTTAACAGGGACCTAAGGGGCATCTTTTTTCACGCAGAGGGTGGTGCGTGTATGTAAGGAACTGCCAGAGGAAGTGGTGGAGGCTGGTACAATTACAACATTTAAAAGGCAACAGGATGGGCACATGAATAGGAAGGGTTTAGAGGGATACGGGCCAAATGGTGGCAAATGGGACTAGATTAATTCAGGATGCCTGGTCGGCATGGACGTGTTGGACCGAAGGGTTTCCGTGCTGTACATCTCTAGGACTCTAACATCTTTACATGGCCCATGTCGAGCACCTTGAGATCTTTTATTATGTTAAAGATCAGTTCTGAAATAGAGTCACTGGACATCATTAACTCTGCTTTCTCTCTCCACAGTTGGAGCTGCTGGGCCTGCTGAGTTTTTCCAGGAATTTCTGTTTTTGTTTAAAAATAGGCTGTTGCTGCCGGCTAACAGTGGGGAGGTGGTGGTGTAAGTGGTAGCCTTACTGGGCTAGTAATCTAGAGGTTCAGGCTAATGCTCCGGGAATATGGGTTGAAATCCTAGCAAGGCTGCGTTTAAAAATACAATTACTATAGTAAATCTGGCCTCAGTAAAGGGGACACTCAAAATATTATCGATTGTTGTAAAACCCCATCTGATTCACAGGGAATCTTCCACCATTACCTGGCCTGACCTAGGTTTGACTCCTGGTCCACCAACTCCTGGTCCACCAACTCCCAGTTGTTGCTTCTCTCCAATCCACTTACTTTCACTCCCTCCCACCTTCGTAACATGACTGAACTCTGTTCGATAACATTTATCACAAGACAGAGGCAATAATCTTGCTGTCACGCCACACAAAAAGCTGCATCCACCTCAAAGGGAGGTAACGATGTTCACATCAGAATGTCCCACAGCCATGTTCCAATCTACAACCTGCACTCCCCGAGACACTTTGAACATTAACTCCCAAACCCTTGGTGTCCCAATAATCAAGGGCAGTTGGTGACTGGGACCATCATGTACCTCCCAGGCACACACATTCCCGCCTCGGATAGATATGGCTCTTAGATGTCACCGGTTCCAGTTCCTGCAACACAGTTCCTGCTCTGTCCCTGCCCATCCTCCCAGCACCATCGCTGTCCCTCCCAGCACCATCGCTGTCCCTCCAACACCATCGCTGTCCCTCCTACACCATCATCACTACCCCTCCCAGCACCATCACCGCCCCTCCTACACCATCATCACTGCCCCTCCCAGCACCATCACCGCCC